GAAACAGGAAAACAGGGGAGAAATCAATTTGAAAAGATCAATAAAATCAATAAACCTCTAGCCAAATTGACCAGGAAAAAAATAGGTAGAAAACATAAATTAGCAATATCAGGTAATACCAATATCACTACAGATGATATCACAACTACTCTGTAAAATAGTATGGCAGTTTCTTACAAAGTTAAACATATAACATAACCTAGCTACTTATTCAATTCCTAGATATTTATTCATAAGAAAGGAAAGACTATGTCCATATAATGCCTTATACATGAATGTTTATAGAAGCTAATAAATAACAGTCAAGAACTGATAAAAACAACTCAAATATCTATCAACACATGAACAGATTTTAAAATCTTAATATATCCATAGAAGAAAAAGGAATAAATTGCTGATATGCAAAACAGCAGGGAAATCTCAAAAGAATTTCCAAAGTTGAATATGCCAAACAAAACAGTGGACATATTGTATCATTAAAAGATGAGCTTCTAGTAATTACAAACAAACAAATTTTAGGTGATCCCTAATAATTACAAGTGAACGTCAAAAGACTGTAGGCAAAAAGCTAAGACGATGCCAATATCTGGTTCAGATATTTACAAAGATCTATAACTCGCTTTTACATATACTTCCCCAACAAACTGTACCTTCTTTATTTGTAAAACTAGCAACATTGCTTTCACCACTTCTATTCAACATAGTATTGGAAGTCCTAGACACAGCAATCAGACAAGAAACAAAGAAATAAAAGGCATCCAAATTAAAAAGGAGGAAGAAAAATTGTCACGGTTTGTAGATGACATAATAATGTATATAGAAAATCCTATGGACTCCACCAAAAAACTACTCAACCTAATAAGTAAATGTGGCAAAGCAGTGGGATAGAAAGTCAACATTCAGAAACCAAAAACATTTTGTACACCAACAATGAAATATCAGAAACAGAAATCAGGAAAAAAATCCCATTTGACATAGCAACAAGAAAAATAAAGTACCTGTGAATAAACCTAACCAAGGAGGTAAAAGACATATAGTCAGAAAAGTATACAACACTGAAGAAAGAAATTAAAGAACACACAAACAAATGGAAGCATGTACCATGTTCATGGATTGGAAGAATTAACATCATGAAAATGTCCATACTGCCCAAAGCAATTTATAGATTCAGTGCAATCCCTATTAAAATACCAATGACATATTTCACAGACATAGAACAAACACTTCAAAAATTTATATGGAATCATAAATGACCCCAGCAATAGCTGGGGCAATAGCTGCAGCAATTTTGAGAAAGAACAAAGTAGGAGGGATCACAATACCTGGCATCAAACTATATTACAAGGCCACAGTAATCAAAACCGTCTGGTACTGGCATGAGAACAGATACATAGATCAGTGGAACAGAAAAGAGCCCAGAAATAAACCCAAGTCTCTATGGTCAATTAATACTCGACAAAGGGGGCAGAAGCATAAAATTAAGTAAAAATGGCCTCTTCAACAAATGGTGTTGGGAGATCTGCACAGCTACATGAATAAAAATGAAACTTGACTACCAACTTATACCATATACAAAAATAAACTCAAAATGGATAAAAGACTTAAATATAAATCACAATACCATAAAAGTCCTAGAAGAGAACTTAAGAAGGAAAATCTCAGGCATTCTATGCAGCAATATTTTCACTGATTTGTCCCCTAAAGCAAGGAACATAAAGGAAAGAATAAACAAATGTGATCTCATCAAAATAAAAAGCATGGCTAAAGAAAACATCAGCAAAATGAATAGGGAACCAACCATATGGGAAAATATATTTGCAAAAGATACCTAGGAAAAGGGTTTGATCTCCACAATATATAAAGAACTCACATGACTCCACTCCAGGAAGACAAACAATCCAATTTAAAAAAGGACCTGAACAGACACTTCTCTGAGGAGGACATACAGAGGTCCCTGAGGAATATGAAAAGATGCTCAGCATCACTAGCCATCAGAGAGATGCAAATTAAAACCACAATGGGATACCACTTCACACTAGTCACAGCGGCCATCATAAACAAATCAACAAGCAACACGTGTTGGAGAGGATGTGGAGCAAAGAGAACCCTAGTGCACTGTTGGTGGGAACACAGACTAGCACAGCCACTGTAGAAAACACTTTGGAATTTCCTCAGAAAACTAAAAATGGAACTGCCTTCAACCCAGGAATTCCACTGCTGGGATTATACCCTAAGAATCCTGAAACACCACTTCAAAAGAACCTATGCACCCCAATGTTCACAGCAGCACAATTTACAATAGCCAAGTGCTGGAAGCAACCTAAGTGTCCATCAGTAAATAAGGGGATCAAAAAACTGTGGTATATTTACACAATAGAATACTATGCAGCAGAAAGAAAGAAGGAACTCCTACCCTCTACAGTAGCACAGATGGGTCTGAAGAGCATTATGCTAAGTGAAATAAGCCAGGCCGTGAAAGACAAATACCATTTGATCTCACCTGTAAGTGGAACCTAATCAATAAAACAAACAAGAAAGAAAAATATAACCAGAGACAGTGAAATAAAGAACAAACTGACAGTAAACAGAAGGAAGGTAGGAAGGCATAACGGGGGAAATAGGGGGAGGGTTGTCAAGGAACATGTATAAAGGACACATCGACAAAGCCAAAGAGGGGCAAGATCCAGGGTAGGAGGTAGGGATGGCTAGGGTGGGTGGAAGTGAGGGGGGGGGGGGGCGGAAATGGAGACAATTGTACTTGAACAACAATAAAAAAAAAAAGGAAAAATAAATAAATAAATAAAATATTTTTTTAAGTAGCAATATCGAAGATGGAGGCATACATACATACATACACTTTGCCTCCACACTAAAAAGAAGGACAAAAACAAATTTAAAAATAAAAATAACCAAAACTGCAAGAAAATCAAACTGTATGGAAGTCCAATAGCCAATGGGTTAAAGAAGAAACATTCATTCAGACAAGTAGGAGGGGTGGAGAGGACCTGTGGCAAGGCTGAGGCTGGAGGACCAGGTGGGTGAGATGGCAGCTGGCAGTCCCACATTTGGGTGTGGATAAACTGGGAGGAACAATGGGGGGAACGAGATGGATGGGGCAACCCAAGGTTCCAGAGCAGGGAAACAAAGCCTCAAAACCTCTTGCACTAAAAATCTGTGGGGATTGAGGTGGCAGGGGAAACTCCGAGACTCACAGAATTCATAGGAGAGACCCACAGGGTCCTAGAACATACATTAACCCACCCACTTGGGAATTAGAACCAGAAGGGCCAAATTTGTTTGCCAGTAGCAGGGAAAGTGACTGAAAGCCATCCAAGAGCCAAGCAAGTTGCATTGTTCCCTCTCCGACCCCTCCCCCACATACAGCACCACAACACAGTGACCTGGGTTGCCCCACCCTGGTAAATACCAAGAGTTCTGCCCCTTACAATGTAACAGCTGCACTGAGACAAAAAAAAATTTGGCCCTAATGAGAGAATAGATCAAAACTCCAAATATAGAACTAAGTGATGAAGAGATAGCCAATCTATCAGATGCAGAGTTCAAACCAATGGTTATCAGGATGCTCTCAGAAATGGTTGAGTATGGTTGCAAAACAGTGGTAAAAGTGAAAGGTATGCAAAGTGAGATGAAGAGAAATATACATGGAACCAACACTGACAGGAAGGAAACTGGGACACAAATCAATAATTTGGAGCAGAAGGAATAAACATTCAACCATAACAGAATGAAGAAACAAGAATTCAAAAAAGTGAGGAGAGGCTTAGGAACTTCTGAGACAACTTTAAATGCTCCAACATCCAAATCATAGGGGTACCAGAAGTAATGGAGGAAGAGCAAGAAATTGAAAACTTACTTGAAAACATAGTGAACAGAAACTTCCCCAATCTGGCAAAGGAAATAGACTTCCAGGAAGTCCGGGAAGCTCAGAGAGTCCCAAAAAAGTTGGACCCAAGAAAGCACACATCAAGGCACATCATAATTACATTACCCAAGATTAAAATGAAGGAGAGACTCTTAAAAGCAGGAAGAGAAACAGAGACGGTTACCTACAATGAGTTCCCATAAGACTATCAGCTGATTTCTCAAAAGAAACCTTGCAGGCAAGAAGTGGCTGGAAGGAAATATTCCAAGTCATGAAAGGCAAGGACCTACATTCAAGATTACTCTATCCAGCACAGCTGTCATTTAGAATGGAAGGGCAGATTAATTGCTTTACAGATAAGGGAAAGTTAAAAGGAGTTCATCATCGCCAAGACCTTATTATATGAAATGTTAAAGGGAATTATCAAAGAAAAGATGATGATCAAAAATAGGAATAGTAAAATGACAAACTCACAACTATCAACAACTGAACCTAAAAAAAAACACACACAAAAAAAACAAACAAACTGAGCAAACAACTAGAACAAGAACAGAATCACAAAAATGGAGATCACATGGAGGGTTATCAGTAGGGAGGTGGGTAAGAATGGGGGGAAGATAGAGGGAATAAGAAGCATAATTGGTAGGTACAAAATAGACAGGGGGAGGTTAAGACTAGCATAAGAAATGAAGAAGCCAAGGAACTTAATATGTACAACCCAGGGGCATGAACTAAGTGAGGCAGGAATGCTGGTGGGAGGTGGGGTACAGGGCAGAGGGGAATAAAGGAGAAAAAAATGGGACAACTGTAATATCATAATCAATAAAATATACTTAAAAAAAAACCTAGCAATATCATCCTGACCAGTGTGGCTCAGATGGCTGGGTATCATACTGCAAAGCAAAAGGTTACCAGTTCAATCTCTAGTCAGGGCACATACCTAGGTTGCGTGCTGGGGTTTGGTCCCTCATTGGGGCATGTGGGAGAGACAACTTATAGATGTTTCTCTCACACATCAATGTTTCTTCCCCTCTCCTCTTCCTACCTTCCCCTCTCTCTAAAAATAAATAAATAAAATCTTAAAACTAGCAAAATCTTATGTATATAAAAGTCTTACCTGAACATTTATCCTCCAGGTGTGTTGCTAAGTCTGATATCTTCACAAAAGAGGGCATGCTTTTTTGAAATTTTGCTTTAAATGAAATTACTCTTTTATCATCATCAAACAGGCACTCACAGGATGACCAAGGTGTTGTATGTAATTCTAGGTTTTCTAGGATGCAATTGCGCTGAACGAAAAGATATTTAAATTCCCAAATATAATCTTAAACAAACAAATAAAAACAAAAAGTTATCAAAAAGAAAATAATTTTAGTTCAGAATCAGATTAAACAGACTGACCTAATTTAATCAGTTAAACATAACTTTCATTATATCAAAGAATTTGGGTATAAAGGGACAAAATATGAATATATTAAGACAACAGTAAAGATGCTAGAGATGATTTTAATGAAATTTTTTCTAAAGATTTCTTGGTCTCCTAAACAGTCACAATTTATTACAATCAACTGCTTTTCAGAGTAGCAAATTTTCATTTTGATATATCTATAGGCAAAGATAATATAAGGACAGAAAAATAGATACAGGTCTGCCACAATCAATATCTCCAATTGATTTTCAATACCTTAGTTTTCTTGCATAGCTATCTTTTCCCAGAACAAAAAAAAGCATTTTGATACAGTTGTACATATTTTTAATTCCCTCAGTAATGATTCTAATTCTTAAAACCACAGTAGCACAGACCTTCTTGCCTAATAACCATATTCTATATTAATAAATTCACTTCAAAACTATAATAAAACAGAGGTCTCTTAGCACTAAGTTTTCAATAATAAAAGCTTTATTTTAGTTTTGCTTACTTCAGGTCAATATCTAATTCACATGCCCTCACCTGCTTCCTTATTTTTTTTCATTTGACAGGGTTTTTCATTTCCAGCGTATTTTAGAATAAGTCATTATATCTGTATAAATATTATATCATTAGGTAGAATTAAAGCACCTATATTCCACATTGCTGCTTAAAACCAATCAACATTTTTAATATAGCTCTGTTGTCTTATTACAAAATACACAGATAAACTAAATAAATAAATAAACAGCAGCCATAATCTCAATACCCCAAAATAAAATTAACATTTGTTTTCAATTTGTTTCATTTTTACTTAACATGTCAAATATATTTTACATGTTATTAAGTATTACTCCACATTATTTTAAAATCTGCATAATATGCCATTGCATGGATAGACCAAAATCTTTAAAATTATTATTATAGCAATAGTCTTATTTTGGGGCTTGTTGGGTTTTTCTACTTTTCATTATTACAAATAGTAGTACCAGGATAAATATACTTTTATCTACATCTTAATGCATAGTCATGATGAATTTCTATAAGTGTAATTATTAAGCCAAAGGTATTCCAAATTCTAAGGTTTTCACATGGATTGTCCTCAAGAAAGGATTTTCCAATTTACATCTCCAACAGTTTATGAGTGACTGTCTCTCCATATCTTCGCTATTAATTTCTTAAGAGACAAATCATCTATCATTTTATTTGTGTGTCTTCAGTTACTTGAGTAACATTTTCTTGTATTTATTGGTCATTTCTTCTTTGAGGTCTTGCCTGTTTATGTATCTGTTGCCCATTCATATTCATAGATATTTGACTTTTGCTTATAGCATTATTATCTGACAAAATGTAACTTTTTTCTGGTTTTTCACTTGTATTTTAAGTTTGTATACAATGACTTTTATATTAATATATAGTATAGTGGTTTTTGTTGCTGCATGTTATTTAACCTCCTAACAGTGGACTTCAAGCAAGTTTGCTTTATTTTCTTTTTAGAAAAACATATGTGAATCTCTAATTCATCTCTAATTTATTTGGACACAACTATTAAGTATATCTTTGATTTTTTTCTCAAATTATTAGCTAGATATCCCAAACATTACCTAAAAAGAAAAAAGTTCACTTTTATTTTCTAATTATAACATAAAATATGTTTATTGTATAATATTTAGATAAAGAAAAAGGAGTTAATAGGTGATAAAGATTTGCTATACTTTAATAAGCTGGAAATGGTACTCATATGTTTGAACTTTTTCATACTAAAAGGTTTAAAAAATAAATTCAGATTCACAAATGCATAAAATTAAAACTAAAGGTGTGAAGAAAAAATTAAAACCTTATATTATCATACAGAGGTAGCCACAGCTAGCATTTTTGTATCTATATTTCCAGATTTTTAAGTGTAAGTACCTATTTATATATCCACTTTTATTAAAATAGGATCCTGTAGGAGACCATTCTGCATGGTGTGGGCCCAGCTCCCACTCAGAGATGCACAGGACCTATGCCCATGGATAGGTTCTCCTGTGGGGAATCAGACCTACAATGTGCCTAGGCTGCTTTGAGTCTTGCTCTTGCTAAAAAACTCCCTCACCCTGAATTGAGGACATTTACTGCAAAGTAACTTCCTAAAATCCATGCTAAACCTTCCAAGGATAAGTGTAACTGGTTCAGCCACTTTTGCCTTTTCATTTGCAAATATCCCTCTTCTGTGATGTGATTAGCAGCATAGGCTCCTTTGTTTTCCGTAAAAGGTAACCACTTATGCAACCTATGCAAACCTATGCATAGTAAATGAGGACCATCACGTAATGTGCCGAGAAACCCAATAAAGGCCGGTCACGGCAAGGACCAAGGCTTTTGCTCCCCTTGAGAGAAAAGCCATGCTGTCCCTTTTCTTCCACCGGACTCAGTAGTCTGTGTGAATGTCTTAATTCATCCATAATGACTCGGACACTGTGGGCCAGTGTCTGCATCAGGATCCTACTACACATGAAGTCTTATCACCTACTTTTTAAACTAAGTAATATATCACATACATCTCTCCAGGCTAGTGAACATATGTATCTATTTGGTAGTGAATACCTTTGTGTGCCAACCCAGAACACAAATCACCTGCTTTAACTGTTCCCACATCCTCTGAAATAAGTTCAGGCATTCCTAGTTCTACTTTTCAACCCAGGCTACAGGTGAATGAATCAAATTCCATCAGGCAATCAGATGCTCTTTGCTGGGAATTTGGAAATGCTACTGATCTCTTAAAAATATCCAGTTGGCCAAAAAGTTCATTTGCTTTTTCCATAAGATGGCTCTAGTAGCACTTAGTTGTCTTTAACTTCATTCAAAACAATTTTTTAGATTGTATTGTGACAGCTGTCATATCAGTGTGCATTAAAAAAACTTGCCAAAATTGGCAAATTTTTGTGTAGCCGTTTTAATATTGAAGAGGGAAGAAAATACACAATATTTTTGTTATATTATGCTTTATTATCTCAAGAAAAGTAAAAAACAAAACTGAAATGCAAAGAAAGATCTGTGCAGTGTATGGAGAAGGTGATGTGACTGATCAAGTGTGTCAAAATTGGTTTACAAAGTTTCGTGCTGGAGATTTCTTGCTGGATGATGCTTCATGGTCAGGTAGACCAGTTGAAGTTGATAGCATCAAATCGAGACACTAACTGAGAACAATCAACATTACTCCACTTGGGAAAAAGTTGGCATACTCAAAATATCCAAATCAATAAAGTTATTGATGAAAATGAAAAATGTGTGTTTTATTTTACAAAAAAAAACAAAACAACATACGGACTTTTTGGCCAATCCAGTAAAAGTAAAATCAGGAGCTACAGAGTAACCATTTGCTTCCCACATGGTTGAGAAGCAGGAAAAAATCTGCACTGAATGAAAAAACAAGGTACATGGAGAAGCTGCCTGGGACCCACAAAGCTTTTCAGATCCTAGTTCCAAGTCCCCCAGAAACTCATAAGCCCTCTTGGTTTATACATTATGAGATACTCCTTCATACTTCAAATACAATCCCTTTGATTGTTTAAGTTAACCAGAGGAGAGTTCTAGTTCTAACTACAAGCCCTCGGTGCCTAAGTTCAAATATAATTTCTTTTCTTTTTTCTTAAAGATTTTATTTTATTTTTAGAGAGGGAAGGGAGGGAGAAAGAGAGAGAGAGAGAAATATCAATGTGCAGTTGCTGGAGGCTGTGGCCTGCAACCCAGGCATGTGCCCTGACTGGGAATCAAACCTGCGACGCTTTGGTTCGCAGCCCACGCTCAATCCACTGAGCTACACCAGCCAGGGCCAAATATAATTTCTTAATACACCCAGTGATTGCAAAACCTTCATGTGCATGCATTTTTTAAACTTCACAATTTTTTCCTTATTACTTGAAACAATTAGTATTTCCACCTCAAACTTCAGTCTTTCTCCTTAACAGTGGAAATTTTGAAAGGCTGTCTGAGCTATATTTTATTCTTCATCTGTTCATTCACAAAGAAAATATTTACTAGTGCAGGCACTGTGCTGTGTAATGGTGATACAATGGTGAACAAGCTAGTCATTGAATTTACAATCTGTTGAGAAAATTAGTTAATTATTATGCAAGCCAATAGGCTAGATAATCCCAACTGTGTTAAGTGGCACAAATGGAATACAAAAAATGGTCTGATAGAGAGAAGTTTTGTATTTACATATGGGAGGCCTGACAAAGGATACAAAATTGGAGCTGAGAGATGAAGGAACCCTGCATATGAGAGAGTTGGGGGGAAAAGCACTCTAGGCAGAGGAAATGTGTAAATTCAAGATACTGAAGCAGGGAAAGGATTGCCATGTTCAAGTAACAGAAGGGAGTCACATGCAGTTAGGCTAGTAAGTCTGAGAATGGTATTGAGACAAATTGTGATACGTTTCTATATGTGAATCATGAATTAAGGGGGTGAATGGGGGAAAAAAGCCAGAAGCACACTTCTGGTCAAGATGGCAATGTAGCTATATTCGGTACTTGCATCCTCCCACAACCATATCAAAGTTACAACTAAACTACAGAACACTCACAATTCAGAACTGTCTGAAATTAGGTGAATAGAAGTCTAACAATAGGGGTTTAAAGAAGAAGCCACACCACCTGGCCTGGAGGCATAGGTGGTTTCAATCCCCAGTTAGGGCACATACCTAGGTTGTGGGTTCAGTCCCCAGTTGGAGCACTTGTGGGAGGTAGCCAATTGATGTTTTTCTCTCACACTGATTTCTCTCTCTCTCTCTCTCTCTCTCTCTCTCTCTCTCTCTCTCTCTCTCTCTCTCTTTCTCTCTCTCTCTCTATCTTTTCTTTTCTCTCTCTAAAACCAATAAACATACTCTTAGGTGAGGATTTTTTTTTTAAAAAAGAAGCCACACCAAGCCTGAT